GAACAGCTTCTCCGTACATGACAGTTCTTATTCTCAGTTACGGGTGTCAGCACTGCTGCAGGGTCTCATGAACATGCTGGAAGTTACACTGTGCCCAGCTGGGCTGGAAGAGGACACGGGTGGCAAGGGGATAGGGCTTTGGGAAGAATGAACTGAACCTGGTTTCAGGGGGCCAGCAGTCTCCACCAGCTCCTGCAACTCACCAGAACTCAGGAAGCCGAAGACGCCCACTCGGTAGCCAGCTGTGACCACGATGAGGTTGCCAACAGCAGCCAGGAAGGAGCCGTCGACAGCCAGGGCCCCTTCACTCCCTCTCTGCCCCATGGTGTTGTGGAAGAACACCAGCACGGATGCGTTGGGGGCCTGTGGTGGGGGAGAAATGTGGGGCTAGAAGCAGCTCGTTTTTACCCACAAGAAGGCGGTGAGGGTACCTTTCCCATGCTCGGAGTCAGATTCTGGGCCCACACATGACCTGTCTGGCTGACTCTGTCCCATGGGCATAATCAGTCCCAGACAATGGGCTGAGTTTTGTCCCCTCGAATTCGTCCACTGGAGCCCTAACCCCAGAAACTCGGACTGTGACTGTATTGGAGACAGGGCCCAGAGAGGTAAATTGAGGTCCTATGGGGCGATCCCAATCCAAACGGACTGGTATACTTTAAGAAGAAGTTAGGACAATGACGGGTACAGCAGGAAGAGCACACAAGATGGCCATCTACAAGCCTAGGAGGAGACCTTGGAAGGAATAGCCCGGCAAACACCTTGATCGTGAACTTTCTATGCCCAGAATAGTGAGGAAATCGGTTTCTGTCGTTCAAGCCACCTCATCTGTGGTGCTTTGTTATGGTAACCTGAGGAGACTGTTTTAATACCCATTTTACAGACAAGAAAACTGAGGTTCACAGAAGGTGGGGACGCTTTGCCCACATTGCAGAGTGAGTAAGTGGCAGGAATGGCTGTTCCCTGCAGACCTAGAGCCGCTTGTGCTTTGCAACTCCCCAGTCCTGACCCATGGCTTATTCCTTAAGAGCATTCTGGGTCCTCAGTGGTTCCTTTCAATCGGATGCTCTGTGATATTACTAGAAGCCTGCCTTGATAATACCAGCTAGAGTTTTTGAAGCACTTTCTAGGGGCCAGGTGCTGCACTAGATATTGACATTTAGTCCTTAGCAGCTCTGTGAGGTTGGCTTCTTCTTCTTATTATTATTCCCATTTTGCAGATGAAGAAGCAGAGGTCTAGAGATGTTAAATACTTGTGTGGCATCACACAGCCTGGAAGTGGTGTAGCTGGGGTTTGAGCCCAGACTGCCCCTTTTCCATGAGAATGGTACGTTTCACTTGGGATCTGACATCCCCATCCAGGCCATGGTGTGTGTAGGAACTGGGAACTCAAGCCCCATCCAGGTTACGTGACATCACTCCCCATACGATGGCCTCTGAGACACAAATGTTTCCACACAAAGGTCCCTCACCAACAGCAAACACTGAGTCCCAGACCAAGGGTTATCACCTAGAATGCCTCATTCTATCTCCTGCCCCTCGAGGTACAAGCTACCAAGACTATACACACTTCCATTCCACCGGCATGGAAACAGAGGCTCAGAGTGGCAAATGAGTTGTTAAAACACCCATAGAGAGGAAGGGGCCAGCCTCGAGTTCTAACCCTGGCCTGGCCTCCTAACACTTTCCTGGGCTCTCCCCTTGGGACACTCCATCTCCCGTGTCACCACATGGTGGAACAGTGAATTCTTCAAATACAAGGCCTTTTCAAATGCCACAGGAAAAGGCCGGCTCGGGTGGTCTCAGTTGCTTTAGTCCTGGGCTGGGGACAGGTCAGCGAAAGGGCCCTGTATTTCCCTCCTCAAAGCACCCTGAGATATCTTCATCGGGCAGCCCGTGAGGCTCAGTACTTATCCTTATCTACATCCCTCCACAAGTGTCACCTCCTGATCTCCCAGTGACACCTCCTGTCACTTGGCATCTCCTGACCCTGATTATTTTGTTTCACAGTCATTACCAATACCAGAACTATGTAATCCTTCTTGCTTATCTGTTTGTTTCTCCCCCCACCCCACACGTAAGCCTTTTGTGGGCAGCGACTCTGATTCACAGCTGTGCCCCACCTTGGTAACCTCTTCTTAGAGAACCAGGTGGGCATGGTGGTGGGTCATGAACCAGATCAGATGAGTCTGAGCAGGAACCAGGAGGCCCACTCTGCCCTCTCCCAGACATTCAGGCCTCCAAGAGGCTCACAGCCAGCCCTGCCCAGTGCCAGCTGGGCATAAGCTCCATGGTCACCAGGGAGGAGATGGAACTGTGCTGGCAGCTGTGGGGATCGTGAATTTCTAATGAGAGGGTTTTCAGGACTAACATAGCACATGCTTCCAAACTTACCACGTTCTCAGGGACAAACACATTGAGATACAAGCAATCTTCGCTGATTCCAGGAGACGTGGATGTCAGGGCACCTGGTTGCCAGCAGCTGGCCCTGCAGATACAGTCCAGGTAAGTTCCAGTAGAAATAACCAGGAGACATACCCCATGTCCCTATCCATCACCCATGGCAAGAGCCCACTGCCCCAACTTAAAGGCTTGGTGTCCCACCGGCTCTGTGGAAACTGGACAGCTTCCAGAGAGGAGAGAGGCCAGGGAGGGAAAGGAGCAGCCGGGTGCCATCACTCTCTGGCCACTAGGCCTGAGGAGGAATGTTCCCCAGGGACAATGCACCCACCCAGAGAGATGCTGAACCCATGGCCCGAGACAGAGAAGAGGACAAAAGGAATCGTTCAGGACCTTAGACCTTCCTTGCCCTAAATGTATAGACTTCTCCCCGGAGGCAGTGTCTACCCTGCTGTCTACACCAGCCTGGGGACCCAGGGTACTAGAAGGAGTATCTCCTGGTCTGAGAGCTGAGACCACAGCAGGGACCATACCTGATGAAGGCACAACGGCCAATCACTCAATGGGTGACTTGACTGTCACCTAAGCTTCACTAGCCCTGGGCTGCAGGGACTCACCTTTTCCAACCACTTTCCACTCAAGGCCTATATGACTCGATCACCTCATCTGTCAGATGGGTATCCTCTAACACTGTAAGGTGCTCGAATGCTTGCATATCTGTCCTTTTTATTTTCCAGACAGAAATCCATGACTTCCTGCATTCCGACTGCCATTAGCCTAGTTGAAACCTTCATTGTGCTTTTATTTTAAGAGCTTACTAGCTTCTCATTCTATCTGGCCATGGGCCCGTGGACCCAGCCTTGACTGGTAATGGTCATGGAGCTGCCTGGAAGATGCAGGGCATCTGTTGAGAAGAAATGCCAGAGAGAAGGGGAGAAGCACTAGCAGTGGGTGCTCTTTCCACGGGAACCCTGAGTGTGCTTTAATCAGAAAAAAATCACAAAATTGTTCTCCAATATGCCTAGCTACTATTTAAAGTGGTGCCTGCATGGAAGAGAGTTAGCAAAATTGAACATTTTGACAAGAGGAGAGGAGATGGATCACTTAGAAAACTTGTAATATTGTCCCTCATGGGGAGAAAAGCCTTCTTAATTATTTTTTATTAACTCATGTACTTTTCCTTCAATGCTGTGTTCTCCCAGCTTCATTCAAGTCAGCTGTGTCCAGGAGGCTGCGTTCAGCCACTACAATACTGGCACAAGTAACATGTGCATCTCACCCTCAGGCTTGGCCCATGGGAATCTCCCCTGTCAATTCCTCTGAAGTCTTTCTTTCCTGGAACAATGTCCAAGGGACCTTGGAAGCATCGTGCTGAGGAAGGCAGACCTCCATCAACCTGGAGCCCTGAATCACCACATGGAGCAGATGGAATTTACATGAGCAAAATAGTATCAAGCCATTGATGCTTGGGGATTTCTCTGTTACAGCACTTAATGCTACCTTAACTAATATACCCACACCCCCAAACTTTGCTCACTTGGATGGGTTAGAATGGAAAAGGGTTTCTCTGGGCATTCAGCAAAATGCAACCCACTCAACCCATACCTTGGCTTGCTGGCATCCCAGGAGCCTGTCCAGTTCGAGGGTTCTGGTGCCCGGAAGCGACTCTCTGCCAGGGGTGGGGTGGCATATGGAACTCCGAGGAACTGGTCCACTTGCTTCCATGAAGCGCCCACCTGGATGGCCTGGGACCTGCCCAGCAGCCGGCCATGGGTGGCAATCGGCACGGAAGGGGCAGAGGCTTCATAGCTGAGCAGAGGGATGCCTGCTGGCAGGGAAGAGAGGGGAGGGTGAAGAGGGGAAGGCGGCAGGGTGTGCCTTCTCTGCTGCCATTCAGAATGTGCTTTAAGCAGAAGGAAAAAAATCACTGCTTTGTGTACCTTGAAAATGTCAGTAATCCATTCAGACTCCCATCGCTAAGATCTCATCACGTTTCAATGTAATCAACAACGAAATAATAGCAAAGACATCTGTTCTTTATTAGGCACCAAAGTGTGCAAAATGCAGCCCTAATCCCTTCCATCCGTGTTGATGCTTATCCAGTACCCCCACCCTGGCCCCAGGGCCTTTCAAAGCACAGAGGGCACACAGTGAGCCGCGCTCAGAGTCCCTGGGGAGGTGGAGCAGAGCCCTCCATCACCCACATTCATCATTCCTGTAGCGACACGTATGCGTTATTCACTGAGAAAGTGAGTAAAATGCAGAATTTCTTCAGTCACTTCAGACCAGATTTGCCACCAAGTGAGTTTGCTGTAAACTTATACCTGTGCACGTGCGCGTGCGCGTGCGCACACACACACGAACTGACTTTCAAAACTTTCATAATTGCAGCGAAGGGATTGTGGACCTACATTTACCTTTTGCTGGTGAGAAAACAGATTTCGGGGCAGAGGCTTAGGGCCTGCCGAGACCATAAGGTGACGTAGGATTCAAAGTAGCACCTTCAGAGTTCCAACTCTGATCACATCCACTGGGCCAGGGGCCAGTTCAGAGTTTGGCCCATCTCTGCGCCTCTGCTACCCCAGGTGCCCCAGCTTGCGAGATCCTCTGGCCTATTTGCTCATGTTGGAATCTCACCTGGTCCCTAGGGCCACGGCGGTGCCACCTGCTGTCCCCTCCCATGACCCTCCTCGTAATGCTAATGGCCAGCAACACGTATCAGCTTCGCTGTAACCCTGCCTTATTTCCTGTATGACATTTTCTTTCTTTCATTCATTCATTCAAGATACTTTTGTCTGCCCGGGCTCTAGGCCAAGTACTGTTTTCAGGAACTTGAGACAGGTCCATCAGAGCCCCCACAGGACACAAGCCTTGCACAAAGAAAACAATAAAAACCCATCCAGAGATTCTTAGCACTTAGGGTATGTGGGGGAAGTCTTTTATTATCTCTAGGGTGTGTGGGAGAAGTCTTTTATTATCTCTAACAGGTGGCTTTGGGCTGCTTGACTCCACTCCTGGCTGATCGAAAGACAAAGCCCAGGGCTCCTCTTTCATTCTTTCCAAAACTTCTTTTATATCCTTAGCCCAAGAGGCCATCTGCCTCCCCCCACCTCCAAACCTGGAACTGTGTATAACCCAGATCTTGTATCTTTGTATAACGGATGTTATTTGTACGAAGAGCCATTCGTAAACAGCGCTTGTTCTTTTAATAAAAGAATGTCTTGCAAAAAAAAATTCCAAAGAGAGAGAGAGAAAAAAAAAGACAGTCTTTCTGTTTTCTCTGACGCTCCCCCTATAAAAAACACTCATGCTGTAGTGGTGACTTAACAGGAATGTGAGGAGAGGAAGCAGACAGACAGACAGGCAAACAGACGGAAGTCCACCCGTTCCTGAAGAGCTTGGTGTGATGTCATGGTTCTCAACCAAAAGCAATTTCACTCTCAGGGGACAAATGATCATGTCTGGAGACATATTTGGTTGCCACAAGGGTAGGCGAGAGATGCTACCAGCATCTCGTGGTCAGAGGTGTTGCCAAACATCCCACGATAGACGGGACGACCTCAGCCTCACCCCACAAACAACAACAGATTCTCCAGCCCCAAATGTCAGTGGGTTCTGAGGTTGAGAAACCGGGCAAAATGTTTGTCCTTGACTTCCAGGTCACTGAGGGTCAGCATGGTGACATGGAACCAATGGGTGGTCTGCATACCTATTTTTTATAGTGTGGGATGGCTGCTTATTGGAGAAATTTTGTAATTCTTCCTAGCCTCAATTTTTCCCATCTGTGAAATAGGGACAAAGCAACCCTTACAGTACAACATTGTCCGGAATAAATAATAATATCTGTCATGACCCAAGTCCAGTGACCAAATGAAGCAGGAGTTCAATGAATGAATGAATGAATGGAAGGAAGAAAGGATGGAATGGGGGGGGCAGGCAGAGAGAGAAGCACAGAAAAAGGAAGAAGAAAAAAAGAACAAATGAAGCCTTCTCTGTGCAACGACCCTGGATTGCGAGTTAGAACTCAAAATGGAAACAGGCTGGAAAGGCACAGCTGCTGGTTCTGAATCTGGCCTCAGTCACACACCATGACGGAAGTCTCCCCCTCAGTTCCTTCTCACACAGTGTCCTGGCACCACCGGAAATCCAGCGTTTTCAGACAAGCCCTCGGGACTATGGCTGCTAAGACACAGAACTTTCCTCTGCTGTGCAGGTTCTGCTCCTCATTTCACAAACAAGGCATTTCACGAACAGGGCATCCTCCAAGGGTGGTAGCCAAGGCAGAGCAAACAGGAGAGTTCAAAATCATCAAAGGAACACAAGTCTGCCTTCCCAGGGACAGTGGGACTCAGTCCTCCCTTCAGAGGCTGCCCAGAGAACCCCAGACCAAGTGAGAGCAAACATGGGATAAACGCTGAACGTGAAGCTCTCCCCTTTACATTCTGTTGCACAAATGGGAGATTCTTTCTAGAATACCCACGAGTTAAGCCATGTGACAACCTGAGCTGAGAAAATGATCTGTAGTACGTGTATCGGTTGCAAATACATAATGCCTATGTGAAGGGTGACGTCTACTCAGATGGACATGTGCATCATCTCCTTTTAGAAAGGAGCATTTCACATAGAATTTTAGTTTCATGGAATCAAAAGAGAAACAGTCTAATGTGTGTTTTACAGAACTCACATCTCAATGTTGAGGCATTTCTCGGCAGAATTACCATGCAGATTAGCTAAACAATTGGTGAAATACACTATTAAAATCTATCTAGCTTGACTAAATAATATAAATGTCCAGATAAATAGAAGACAAAACTTGAGATCGAGGGCCTAACATCTCAGCATGCACAAATCAAAGCATCCCTGGATCTGAGAGACACTCTTGTGGTCTGAAGGCTCACGCTGGGTGTGGGAGCAGAAGAGGAGGATATCTCTGGTGTCAAGACAGAAGGATGGTCTATGCTTTAGAATGGGGCAGGGCCAAATCCACTGCTATCTGGTTTTGTAAATAAAGTTTTATTGGAACACAGCCACATCTATCAGTTTATAGAGTGCATATTGCTGTTTTCATGCTACAATTGCAGTTGGGTAGTTGGAACATAAATGTGTGACTGAAGAGACAAAAATATTTATCATATGGCCCTTTACAAAGTTTACAACCCCTATTCTAGGAGACAAGATGGCAGGTGTAGCCAACACCCTAACAGTCATTAATTTCATCTAGTAAACATTCCCAGTAGGGGAGGTGCTTCCCCCAGACACCCAGCTCCTGTTTTCTGCCCCTCAGCTCCAAGTGGTTTTATAAGTGATGGATTATAGCTGTTCTTTCCTTGCCTGCCTTGTCCCTGGAACCCCAACTCCTAACACAATGCCCGTCAAATATGTGTTTAAACTAAACTCAACCAGGAACAATTTCCCTCTCTAAAGTGTTTGTGATGGGGTAATTAGGCTGAGTGACTTTGTGGGAGAGGATTCCATATGGAGAGAAGAGAAGAGATCTGGGCTCTGAGTCTTGTTCTATCATCACTGGCTGTGTGAAACCAGGGAGGCAGCTCAACTTCTCTGGGCTACAGTGTCCCGATCTCTAAGATGGGAACAAAGCCCTTATCCTGCCATTGTACAGGGTTCGTGTGAGGACCAAATGAGACATGACTGGTGAAATAACTTTCTAAACTACAAAACAGTAGCAAAAGTGGCCTGTGTGATTGTCTTACTAAGAAACTCAGAAGTTAAGATGGTTTCTGTAGCTCAAAGGAGTAAGTGAATGATGGTAATACAAAAGTAGGAGTTTTCTCTGCCTCCTTCTAGTCCACCTCATGTGAGTGCCACCTACCCCAGGATAACTTTGGCCCACAAAAAGCCACTGCTCGCAAAGTGACCACATACTTCTATGGTCCCTCCCAGCCATGCCCTGTTTCCTAGGAGTGGCCACAAAGGCACAGGTCTGGGCTTACCTGGCTTCCGATAGATGTGAGTGGCCGCTTCACGCAGCAGAAGTTGGCAGTTCTGGCCCTGCAGGCTATGTGTGCAGCTTTGGGTGTCAGTGTAGAACATACATCTCACGACCCCAGGTCGGGTCTGCAGTGTGGTGATGAGGCAGGCTGGATGGCGGGAACATTCTGTGGAGAAGAAGGAGAAGAGTGGAGCTTGGGCCTCAGAGGTGTCGCCTCACTCATGCATCCAAGCATCCACCTATCCGTCCACTCTCATATATCCACACATCAATCCATCCGTCTATTAACTCATGGACCCACTCATCCACTCATCTACCCTTCCATCCTTCCATCTGTCCATTCGTTCATCTACCCATCCATATCCAATCATGCATCCATCCATCTACTCATCCATCTATGCACGCGTCCATCCGTCCGTCCGTCCGTCCATCCGTCTGTCCGTCCGTCCATCCGTCCATCCATCCGTCCGTCCATCCGTCCGTCCGTCCGTCCGTCCGTCCATCCATCCGTCCGTCTGTCCATCCGTCCATCCATCATCCATCCATCTACCCATTCATGCATCACCCATCCGTCCGTCCACCCATGCATGTATTCATCCATCCACCTATGGATGCATTCATCCATCCAGGCATGCATTCATTCTTCCATGCATGCATCAATCCATCCATCTAACCATTCATGCAATCACTCATTCATTTGAGTGCCTACTACAATTTCTAGGCACTGTGTCAGAGAATGGAAATAAAATGTTGGCCGTGGACAACCTAACCATCTGATTGATGCATTTTCCACACAACCTTCAGACCTTTTTTGTTTATTTTATTCACAAAGTGGCCTTATTATTTAAATATCTCCTTGGCTCTCCACAGGCTTAAAGCTAAGTTGTACCAGACATGGCTCTCCAGACTCCAGTCCTCATGTGCCTTTTCGGATTTGTCTCCCTCGACTTCCCTCAAATGCCTCCTCAGTCAGCATCACACCCACTATGTTCCACCAAGGATCATGACCTTTTCCAGGCATGTAGTGTCTGTGAAGGCCTGTGCACAGCGCCACTTGTTAACCCTGATGTGTCTGTTGTTATCCTTATACTTGGGATAATTCTAACTGCTGCTTTGTAACAACTGCATCACAATGTTTGTTCTGTTCTTAACTTTAGGCAAGCTAAACTAGTCCATGGCATTCAGTACTAAGAAGGGCTCTGAAAATAGCACTGTTCCATTTGATAAGGCAAGGCCTTATTCATAGCTCAATCCCCGTGAATGGCATCACCCAGAGTTGTGCAATGCACAACCTGCACTTCTGCACACGGTGGACCAGTCTATAAGGCAAGCATAGTGTTGTGCATATCATTATCCAATCTTGTAGAAAAGGAGATCTGATCTCAACCTCATTCAGAAGCTAAAGGTCTTTGTGGAAAATTTCAATCAAGTGGTCACCTAGCTTTTATTGAAATACCACCAGAGCCTTGAAACCCTCTAAAGGAATTATATATCTCTGGACAGCTTTGTCTATTAGAAAGTTCTTCAAATTGCATTGAAAAAATGTCTCTGGAAATTTGAGTTTTATCCATAGGCCTTAGCTTTGCCCCATGAACCTGGCCAGAACAATTATATTTCCTCCTAACTCCGGGGGCCGACCTGTTGTCTGTGGAAGTGACGAGAGCTCCCACACATCTTTTCTGGATCAAAATAACCCACAATACCCTTCTTCTGATCTTCCTCTCACATGGTTGTGAGTCTCTCATTTGCTGGCTGACTTATTCTCATGGAGACCTTGACTAGGCGCTGCCCTATAGAGGAATGAGGAGACCCCCCCAAGATCTTCTCTCCAGGTCAGTTCCTTCCTGCCAAGCACCCCAGGTTATTTTAGGGGGTCTCGTGCTTTCCTGAGGTCAGGCTTTGGGGCAGCACTTGTGTGAGGTACTGTTCCATCCTAGCCAAAGGGTAGAAAATCCCCTTACCCAACAGACAGAGATCCCGGGCCACAGAAAAGTTGCTGGTGGCCGCAGTGCTGACGTGGGCAACATCAAAGTTCCTGATGGATGGATCCAAATCTACTGCAGAGGGGCCCAGGAACTGCCATGAGTCCAAAGAGACTAGGAGAGAAAGCAAGGGACAGTCACATGTGGTTACTGCCTTGTGTTACTGAAGACAGCAGAATCCTACTCAGCATCCCCCAAGGCCGTCTAAAGGGCATTCTCCTCAGAGTCTTCATTCTCATATGATCCTTTGCCTTTATTAGTTTTTTTCATTCAACTAGTGTGCATTAAGTTATTGATGAGCCAAGCTCTGTGCTCAAGCCTCGGAATGCAAAGATGAAAAGCTGAACAAAACACACAAAAACAAACCAAAGCAGGGCTGTGTCTGCAAAGCAGCTCATAACAGAATGAGAGAGAAGTCGAGGAGACAGAACAAACATTGTGATGCAGTTGTTACAAAGCAGCAGTTAGAATTATCCCAAGTATAAGGATAACAACAGACACATCAGGGTTAACAAGTGGCGCTGTGCACAGGCCTTCACAGACACTACATCATATGATGTCAGTTGCTTTCTGTAGTGGACATTGTAGTATGCTGCCAAGCCCCCTTGCCGGACTGAGGCCTTCGTTTCCCCAGCTGTTGAGAAGCTGGTGATTGGTGGCTCCAAACAGAGCACCTCTCCAGGAATTACCTTTGGTTTAAAAGAGCCGTCCTCCTCCCCAGGGACAGCCTGCATCCAAACTCAAGTCCTTGCGGGTAGACAAAGGCTCAGTCCCCAACTCCCCCTCCCCCCAAGGACAATTCTGAAGGGCAAGCCTAGCTTCAGAGACCACTGGGGGATCAGTGGGACCATTGTTTCCTTTGCATCAAAGTTCTTGTTTCTCTGCATAATCCTGACCCCCACTTCCTTACAGGTGCTGACTCTGAGAACACTGCACCCAGCTTCCTGCATGCAAATCTCCATCTCAGTCTGCTTCCTGGAAAACCCCAGTTAAGACATCCTCTTTTAAAGGTGAAGAAAATGTGACCCAGAGAGGTTAACATGACTTGCCTGAGTGCACCGCTCTTACTGGTAACAAGATTGGGGCGGGCTCTTTGCATTTAGAAAGCGTGTGCCCTCCGACCACTCTCCCCTGCAGCCTCCCCTGTCCTACACGTAGGAAGTGGCTGTCTTAGCATGAGGGAGGGAGGTACAGATGTGGCACCCAGAGAGATGGTTCAGGCAGAGGTGAAGAACCTGTTGGAGCTTGTCCCATTGTTGCATTGGGTGCAAAGGCCCTGGCTAGAGCCAGGCCAGGTGTCCCTGTGATGTCGAAGGTAACTCTGAACAGTGAACTTATGGTTCCTCTGTAGGGAGAACTGTGAGTCTAGGTCGACGGGTGTCTCACTCTGTGCACAAATAACATTAAAGAGGCCAACATGCTGCCTTCCAGCACAGGCTTCCATGATCATTGGGGAGCACTGATTATAGAACACCCTAGAGAAATATTCAGCGGGGGCAACCGATTTTAACAGAGAAAATCTCTCTCTCTCGTTTTCCTCTTTCTTGCTTTTGTCTTTTTTTTTCTCCAGAAGACTATAGTAGTGTAACCTTTTAATAAATATTCATGAGCACTTATCCTATGCTAGCAGGACACTGTGGCAACCTTAGGAGTGGTGCTTTACAGCTTACAAAGCATATTTACTTCACCATCACGTTGGATTCCCACAGTGCCCAAATGAAGGGTCAGGTAGGGGCTTGAATGCCTCCTTCAGAAAAAGGAGTCAGAAGGTCAGAGAGATTTCATGACATTATTGAGAACAGGAAACTGAAAAATGACCAGGCCAGACAGAGACAGACATCTTGGCTCTAAGTCAATGCTTTTTCCATTTCCTCTGAGTTTCTTATGCAGCTCAGCACCTTTTCTAGAACATTATCCCCAGGTATAAAAGGGTCCTTGCCTTGATAGCATCATATTCTTAGCTACATTAGGAAGCTTATAATTTTTATCTCAAACCTATCTTTGACATCCAGCACACTGGTGGCGGGGGGCGGGGGGGAGGATCACTAAAATTAGAACAGTAAATAAAGCAGCAAAACAACCTAGTGTCATGTTTTGGTTGGCTCCAGCTGTCAGAACTGAACACCATAGTCTGAGCAGCTTAAACTACAAACATTTATTTCTCACTGTTCTGGAGGCTGGAAGTTTGAGGTCAGGGTGTCAGCAGGGTTGGCTCTTGGTGAGGGCTCTTTTCCTGGTTTATGGAAGGCTGTCTTCTTGCCATATCCTCACGTGGCAGAGAGTAGAGAGCGAACAAGGAAGCTCCCATGATCTCTTTTTAGAAGGGCACTAATCCCATTATAAGGGCTCTACCCTAATACCATCAACATAAGCATGCAGTCCATAACATGCCGCTACTTTTTTAATTTAGAAAAAAAGATAAAGGAAATATTTATCTGGAGAAGTTGCCAAAGAATGCAAGCAGATTTCACACAGAATTGGCAAGGGGAGAGTGAACCTGCATACTCTGTCCTGGAGCCATAAGCACCATCAACAGGAAAAGAGCTGTGTTTTCCTGAACTTGGGACTTGGTTTGACTGCAAGAGGTGCTGGGCTTTCATTTTCTTAAGCATCCTCTGTGTGTTGCTATTTTCACGGTCAATACAAGTGGCATTTTTGACCAAACTGAGGTGCATATTTTTAGAGGGTGAGCACACTGCAATTTTAGAGAACAGTTATGATGGGGTTTCAGGACCAGACTTGCCAATTATGGTCTTAAAATGGAAGCCTTGGCCACACTCCGCGTTTAGGTTGATGTCTGGGGAAAAGCGTTCTAATTGAAGAGAGAATTTCATCGCTGAGTGAAAGCCAGCTCATCTGTCGCCATTCCAGGGCCTGGAACCTGCTGTGCCCTCTGCCTGCCCCTCCTCCCCCTGGTCTGCATGAGCCCCCTCCATGAGCCACTGCTATTGTGCAGAATCCAATATCGGGGGGTCCACATACATCTCATGAAAATTCTGAGAACATGCTCTTCATGGATGCAAAAGCATGATGAGGCTGGGGCTTTGTGGTGCCATTCAGTGACCGTTTACTACTTTCTAGGAACCCACAGGACCATCACATTAAAAATGTTCATGATAAGCCATCATCAGGTGGGCACTGTTATACTGCCCAAGTTAATAGACAAGGAAACAGGCAATCCTGCCACCCACCCTTTGCCTAGCCAACTGGCAAGGCAATCAAATGGTAGAACCAGCAAGGACTGGAGCCCGTCCCCTGGGTACAGAACCCAGGGTTGGTATAACGCTACCCTGCTTTCAGAGGAATGAGGTGGAGGTGGCTTTCAAGCTCACCCAGAAGGTGACTCTTCTCCTAAAAAGCAGAGTTTAGAGTTTATTGGTTCATCTTTGTTTTGGTTTGTTTTCTTTCTTTCTAGGAATAGTTCATAGGTTAAAAGCTGATATCATTTATTAAAAAATATAATCTCCCTTTATGTGCAACTGATTTATTCTGATGAGTGTCTCTTCTTTTTCATTCACCTATTTGTAAATCCTGGCTCTACCCTCACACTGTTTAAACTGCAGTCACTTTATAGTATAGTTTAGCATCTAGTGGTTAAAGTCTTCCCATCGTGTTTTGCTTTGTAAGATATCTTCTCGGCTATTTATTCTTTTAGATGAAATTTAAAACCATGTCAAATTTCAAGAAAGCTTCTTTGAATTCTTACTTGGAATGATCTTGAAGCCAAACATTAATTTAGGAGAGACATTTTAATTTGAATTTTATAAAACTTATATATGGTTTCATTAACAATAGGATGCAATACTCTTTTCATTATACCTTTTAAATGGTTGTTGTTTGTATAGAGAAAAGCTATTTATTGGGGTGCTTATTAAACTCACCATCAGTGAAACCCACAGACACGGGCGAGACAAAGCCCATCTGAAATACCATAACCCCTTCCTGGGATACGGGCCCCCTTCGCCAACCCTGAGTGGCCGCCTCAACTGAATTGTATGAAGACTCGACTGTAAGACTTCTACATCTCTGCCATAATATTCTACTCCCTTGGCACTACTTGCTAAAAAAACAAAGAAACACACAAGAAAATAAACTACTTCTAAATTAGACATCTTTCGAATAAATATATCATTAATAGACACTTACACCTTTAAAGGTTTTTAATCTCATCATAAAAGTTCTAAATTTAAGTCCCACCCTTATCGTCTCAAATTATAAAGCCTCGCTCTCCTCTAAAATGAGGTGTAAATTCTATCCTAAAAAAAAATCCTGGTCAGGTTAAAGTCCCAAATCTAATTCAGATTCATGTCTCCAAAAAGAGAGACAATATTCAAAAACTACAGCCACTAAAATACTCAGTCTGGTTTTATTTCGGTTCTGTCTGTCTGTCTATATTTTTGGTCTATACTATGATGACAGCCCAACAAAAATTAAAGAGTTTAATGGTCATAATAAAGGCTTATAAAATTTCTAAACTAGTTTATCTACACACTTGATTAAAACACAGGCTCCATAAACTAAAAAAAATAATAATTTAGAGTCACCCCCTCATCTCTCATCTTTCCCTCCCTTCCTCCTTCTTCCGGCTTTGCTCCAGTCCCATGACATTTCAGCTTTATTACAAAAACAAAATCTGTAACTTTAAAAGTCTAAATGTAAAAGGCTATGGCTTTTTAGATACACTTATTTTGCTAAACTTTCACAACACAAAATAAATAACACAAAACTAAAATGACAAGACACCAGACAACCAACCTCCAGTCAACACCCCAACAAATACCTCCCTAGCTCAGAGAGCTTTACTAAAAAGCAATGTATCATTAAAGTAGCCAAAATAAAATTCTCAAACATTAAAACATGACAGATTTTTTGCAACTCCAACTGACTACATAAGCTGGCTTAATCGAACACGCATTTGAAGCTACTGGCCCACAGCTAAAGAATTAACATAAGGTCTTTTAAATATTTTGTCTATTTTTTTCCTGCCTACTTTAAATCTACTGACTTTTCTACTAATATCCAAATAAAACTTACTATCGTAGCATTAATAGGCTCTTTGCTGCATGGCTACTTTGATAAAAGGACCAAAACTATATTCTGAATGGAGCCCCTTG